GGCAAGTAATGAGGTCTGCATCCCTGGAGGTGTTCAAATATAGGAAGTCTGGAGGAAACTCTACTTAGACACAATATGAGACTGTTGAAAATGGTCCTGCTGGTTGGAATCTCCCAGGGACTGGCTTGTTGAACAGTATTTTGGAATTCCAGTGAGACAGAACCTGGTAGAGGTCCCCTTGTGGAACTGTTGAAGAGTGTATCGGAGAGCATGATGTGTATTTTGAGCAAGGGCTTGGTGCAAGGCACCAATTGCTTGCTTTCCACCAGCTAAGTTTTTGTCAGAGCTCAATCTGCTTGCGAATTTGCCTGGAATCCATTCCTAGCAGCACCATCTGTTTGTGATTGCCCTTCCATCTGACCATTTACCCTCTGTCAATTCCCTTCCTCTGGATTCTCCCACTGCCAGTTAGAGTCTACCCATTGTCCCAGCTACATAAACTGAGTCTGAGGAGAGACTGTGCAGTAGAGAGGGGAGGAGGAGGGAGACCTTCCAGTGTGTTGGCACGCAGGACCATGACGTGTCTGGAAAGTCCCCACCAGGACTTCACATAGAACCTGGGGAGAGAGCATGTGGCTGAGCCAGAGCCATATTGTGTCCCAGGCAGTCTGATGGCTCCACAAATAATATTGATGCCTTTTGTTTGGAAACTTTTCTTGGAGGCTTCCCTTTTCCCAACAAGCCACGCTAAGTGCGGGGCCTCCCCCAAGCCTTTTGCATGGTCCTGCGGCTAACTGTGCAGGCAGATGAAGGGCCCTGAATGCTAATGAGAGGGATGGCTGGCATTCCTGAGGCACCCCAGCTTGGGGACCCCCCGCCTTTGTTGCTAGGGAGCATTGGAACTGTAGCTGAAAGGCTCTAAGGAGGAGGGGAGAGGAGAGAAAGAGAAGAAAGGCCAGCATTTGTTTGTAGAGCTCCACAGTTCTCTGGCCTGCTCCAAAGCTGTCCAGTTGCTGATCCCAATTAGAATATCAAACCCTGTATTCTTTCTCTTAATGATCTTGGGAAATTCCTCTGAAGAGTCAGGGAGCACTTAGCAAACTCTTTGGACTGCATGATCTATACAATTGTTTCTGCTTGTGTGAACACACAATGCCAAGAGTTCTGAAAACACCTTTCCTTTAAGTCCCCACAAGGCAGTGATGTAGCTGGAAGAGCCAAGAGAGGGCAGAAAGCCATGGGGCTTCCAAAGTTTCATGCGGGGGCTCCATTCAACAGGTGTTTTCCAGGTGCCTACTTGGGGGTGAATCTGTGCTCTGTGCTGGAGACAAAGCTGGGGAAGACCTCAGCCCTTACTGGGAATGACCTCCAGACTTACTGGGGAGAGAGACCATGTATCCTAGAGAGAATTTTGCAGGTTCTTTGCCCTGTGACCTGCAAGTCGCTGTTGGACTTGAAGTGGTGCCCTGGGTTCTAATCCTGCCTCAGTCATTCAATAGCTATTAGCCCTTATGCAAGTACCTTGATCACCCTGAGCTTCAGTTTCTGATCTGTACAATGGCCATAGTAGTAATGTCAGCTTAGCTGGGTTACTGGGAGGAGTCAGAGCAGGTGAGAGAATGAAGAACAGTAATGTGGAGGGCTTGATCTCTGCCTTCCAGGACCACACGATCATTGAGCTGCCTGTTAGCTAGGAAGGGGTCTGTACTTGGAAAAGGCATTGATGATTTGGTTAACTGAATGAGGTAAATGGAGATACTGTATAAGAATAAAATAGAAAGCCAGTTTCTCCTGATGGAGTATGTCTACGTGAGAGGTATAGTACTGGGCAGTTTGCACCATTATCTCCTTCAATATGAATGACTCTGTGAGATAGGTCGTGAATTGCTCAGGGTCATAATCTGGGAAGGAGTCTGCCCAGCTGTTGGGATTCACAGCCTCTACCATGTCTTCAGTGATCCGTCTTTAGAGACTGAGGCTTTCAGACAGTTGGGGGAGACACAGTTGACCCTGAGTCTCTCCAGGGCATACTGGAGTTTGAACAGTCCACTGTATACAGATACCTATGTAGAAAGGTTCTGCTAGAGAAACCTGGTCAAGACCACAGACACCAGACTTTCTCTCTCCAGTATTAGAAATTCCCAGTGATACAGTCACAGGGAGTGTACAAAACAACACTGATCTGAGGGAAAAAGAGAGAGAGAAAGAAAGGTAACAGATTTTCCATAAGCAAATCATGGAGAAGTCCTAGGATACAGGTCAAACCAGATTCTAAAGCATAATGACCTCATAGCATTTTCCTTTCTCTGTCCAGTGGTTTGTCTCAAGGTAAGACCTCATCCAACATCTGCTGTCACATTGTCACCTTGGTATCCTAGCTTTATCAATGACTTAAGTTGAATTTTGGTTCTTTTAATGTTTACTCAGAGAAAATCTAATGAGCATTTACTTTTGCAAAGTTGAAGTCTTGCAAAGGCCCTCACGTGCACATTTGTGTGCACACACACACATGAACACACTTACACACACGCACGCACACCCCTTGGGGTAAAATAGTGGACAATTCCAGACAGAAGATGATCCAAAAACAATTGTCTCTTGGTTCTAGAAGACAGATGTACCTCAAAATTTGTTTTAGCTATAGGGTAGCCTCATGTCCCTATGTCATTTCAGGGACTATCATTCAAAAGTCCTAATGTTCGGCAGCTGAGGGAAAGGGCCCAAGAAACGTCCATCTCCAGAAAGTTCTGTGCAAGAACTTTCCAAACGACATGACTCTCCGTGTTTAAAACACTCCTGTGAAATTCTAAGTATTTATATTATTCCTCTTTTACAGTTGAAGGAACTGAAGTTCAGAGAGCTTAAACACTTGCCAAGGCTCCCACCTACAAGTACCAGAGCTGGATTTTGGCTGGTTATAAAGCCTTTTCTTTTTTCTGCTCTCTGTTGAAGGGTAGGTAGTAGTGGTGAGGTGACTATGGATCCAGATATGGCCATGGTTCCCCCACTTCCAGAAGCATTCATTCAGTCAGCCAGCTCTGTAGGAGGATGGGGTGTATGTGACCTCTAGTCGCATAGCTCTGGGGCACCTTTCATGTTGTGTTGCATGTCAACAGAGTCTCCTCCAATTGTGTGAGTTGGTGAGTGCTGAGGCTATCTATCAGGAGCTAGTGTAGATGTTGCACACAAAGAATTGGGTAAGGTGGGGCGTCTGGGTGGCTCAGCGGATTAAGCCTCTGTCTTCGGCTTGGGTCATGATCTCAGGGTCCTGGGATGGAGCCCCACATCGGGCTCTCTGCTCAGCGGGGAGCTTGCTTCCCCCTCTCTCTCTGCCTGCCTCTCTGCCTACTTGTGACCTCTCTCTCTCTCTCTGTCAAATAAATAAATAAATAAATAAATCTTAAAAAAAAAAAAAAAGAAGAATTGGGTAAGGTAAGGTTATAGCCTCCAGGATCTCATGATTGAGTCTGATAACCCTGGCTTCATGTTGAGGGCCTCCCATCATCCAACCCTCTTTCCAGTCTACTTCCCCGCAGAGATGTAGGGTGGACAGGGCATTCTTAGGATGTGACCAATGATCTCCAGAAGGCTCTATCCCCCTGGCCAGTTATCAACAGGAACAGCCCAACAGTTTTTCTACCCTTTACTTCTTTGAGCCTCTCTTTGCTCAATGGTGTTGTGTACCATTTACTCAATATGGTAAAACACACCACACTGAGTTGTCAGAGTTGGATGAAACAAAGTATGTCCAGTTCCCAGCACATGTTAGTTGCCCAATGTATGCTTATTTGTCTGATCTAATGTTCTAATTTTCTAATATTCTAATATTCTAATTTTCCTCATTTGACATTTCGGTAGCATGAGAAAGCCATGTTTGTTTGCTTACTTCTCTGACCTAAAAGGCAGCTAGCAGTGCAAGGGTTCTAGAATGTTAGAGAGATGGTCAGCTGGTCTCAGGAGGCATTTTTCTGGGTTACTCAGGGATTATAAAAACTGAAGCAGGTCAGACTTGGAGCCCTTGGAGATCTTTGATGTTAGTGGATCAAAATTATTTTGTTCTTAAGGTTTTGTTTATAAGATTTTATGAGATCCCCCCATAAAAATGGATAAAAAGGGATGCTCAGAGAGCATTTTACTTTCCCCCTTAACCTAACTCATTTGTCCTGTCTCCCACACAAGTTTGAAAACCAGAATCCAGGTCACTCGGCATTAATGATGGTTCTGGGAACACATTTTTCTCTGAAGTCCTGGGTCAGTATTCCTTTGGTGAGCTCATACTATCTATGTGGTGTGATGTGCATGTGAGTATGAGTTCTGTGGGAGATGCAAAGTTGGATAGAAGAACTATGGGAACTTGTGGAAAGTTTTGCTTGATTTTCCTGCCAGAGAGAGCAAAGATGTTACCTACTTCCAGAACACTTTGTCCGATGTGTCAATCATTAAAACTTCCAAGTTTTAAATATATCTGGGAAAATATCTTTGGGGACAGTGTAGCATCATCTAGTTTTGTGCTATAGAAAATATCTCACTTATTCAGAGAACTCTCTGGCAATTCTTTATTTTTCTTATGATGTGGAAATCCTTCCTAGAATAGTAACTATAGGAAAAGTCTAGTTTACTCATCCAAAAATGGTGTGTCAAGGTCTCTTATGTGACAGGCATTTTGGGGGGTTGACAACAATATCTAGCATATTTTTACTCTATGGAATTGCGGGTTTGCAAAAACAAAGTTTCATCAGGAATATAGAAAAAAATCATGTAATGTTAATAAGGAGCTTTATTAGACTAGAAGGGGACTTAAAGAAATTGGGCTGTTGCTACCTTGGCAGAGGAAACCTGGTTTTTTGTTTGTTTGTTTGTTTGTTTTTTGTTTTTTTTTGGGGGGGGCGGTCATTCTGAGTTGCTTATGAGGGAGCATTATAGCCAGAAAAGAAGTCCAAGTCCAGAGCATCTTCAGATCTCCAGTCACTGTATCAGCCTCACTCAGGCCAGGGAGAAACACATGTCTGGGTAAAAAGGAAGATAAAGGAAACATCTGTTCTCACAATATGGGCTTGTTATCATAGCTCCTTTAAGTACCGAAGTGCTGGCTCCGAGAGCAGATTTTCTCCCGCACGGAATTACCTCAAGGCTTGGTCAATTTTCCGAGGGTTCAGGGACAGGTTGTAAATGAGATTGTAGTTGTGAATGAGGCATCTGGTCCGTTCCTTCTCCAGGACTCCTGCAATTGGTTTGGGTGGGTGGGAAGTTTTGAAAAGCATGTGGAGAAACCAAAAAAGAGAGAGAAAAAAATCTATATTAGCTTGAATGACTTCTGAGTAAAAACAAAATGCTAATATTTTTGACACTTTCAGCTTCTTAAAGCAATTTAAGCTTCTTCTTTGTGGTTATTAAACTTTAAAGGCCAATTTTTAAAACAAGGGGGTGCCTGCTAAAATCAATTTCTAATTTTTCTGGTTTATTTATTTATTTTTTTCTTACTGAAGTAGCCAAACACGTTCCTAAACATGCAGGATTGAAACAGCTAATTTTTATGCATTTCTGGAAATGTATTTACTGTGACTCCCTCCTGCTTGCTGTGTGATCACAGGTACATCCTCTCATTTCTCATGGCTCAAAGTCTGAATCTGTGTAATTGGGCTGGTAGTGGGTATCACCACAGGATGTTCTTTCGTACCTGTCCGTTATATGCATCAATGCCAAGGTCCCTTCCAAGTTAAGGGTAGGTGGACTTGGGGAGTTGTAGAGAGGAGCTTTAAGTGGAGAACATGACATCAGCAAAGATGAATAACTCATTCTTAAGCCCCTAATTGTAAGCTCATATATGTCAGATACTATGCTTAAGAATAAAGAAGATTTAAAGAAGGAACTTTTTACCTCAGGAAGCTCCCCAACCTTTACCATGGTAAGATATGAAGAAAATTAGCTAGAGTATCACAATAGTGGCTGATATTTACACATGTATATAACATTTACTATATTTCAGTTAAGCCCTCAAACATTTTACCAGTAGTAATACATTTAATACAACAACCCATTTTATAGAGGGAGAAACTGAGGCATAGAAATGGTAAGTCACTTGCCCAAGTTTGCTTGAATTCATGCATTTAACCACTACACTCCATCACAAAATAAGGGGGAAGAGATTGTTGCAAGTAAGGCTCAGATCGTTTCCTAAAGATGTTCCTTGAATTGTGGAGATCTATACCACAGGTTCAAGAAAAGCTTTTCAGTATCTTTTATAGGGATTGAAGATGCATCCCTTGCAGTTTGTTCTTTTATCATCCTGTACTTGTACAGGCTGTAACAATGATTGTGAATTTCTTTCTCAAAGAGACCAGATGCGGTCCACCTGTCATTTCATTTACAAAATGAAATGCCACAACCAGTCTATTAGAGTTAGAGTTTGGACACCTATTAACTCTGTTTAAGTGGCCAAATATTGTTCATATTTAAATGAGCAAGGACTGTTGGGCATGGTGCTCCCCTCTGAACCTCTCTGTGATGGGTGTTCTTAACAGTGGGTTACAGATAGCTGGGGCCCTAATGTGATTTATTCTATCCAGTTCTAATTCATTTCTATCCTGTCCCATTCCATTCTATCCTGTCCCATCCCATCCCATCCCATCCCATCCCATCCCATCCCATCCCATCTCTGCTTATCTTCTGTTCTGTGTAGGGTTGTTTATTGTCTCTCTCTTCTATTAGAATGTTGATCCTTTCCTCTGCAGAAATGGATGTCTACTGTTGGTCTGGTCTAGGTTGGATCTCTCAAGATATTTCCTCATATTCTGCCTCTGGAAATATAAGGCATGGGCTTTGGAGTAAGTGTCTGACTGAGGAAGGCACTTGAACTTTCTGAGCCTCAGTTTCCTCAACTTTAAAATAGGGATAATTAAACAATATGAAAATCAATAAAATAACAAAATCTTAACACAGTGTTCAGAACGATTAAGCACCAATAATACAAGCATTCTTATAGGATGATTATAATAGTTGTAGCACCAATATTATTCAAAATAAATAAGACTGTGTCTTAATAGGAAGAAATTTTTAAAATGTATAAAATTGAGTTTATATTTAATTAAAAATTAAAAGTAGTGTTAAAAAATACATGTAGGAATCACCACTGGTGTGGGTAGGGGCATTTTCTACTATTTTCTAAGCTTTACTATTGGTAGAGGAATCCTAGTGTCAAACAAAAGTCCATTGACTGAAATTTGTATCTAATTTACTGTCATTTGGGGCTGCCCAGGAAAGCTGCATAAAATAACCCTTACAATCCATTTTAGTGCTGAAAAGCCTGTTCTTGTCCCACCAGAACCAAAATGAAAGGCATAAGAAGAAGAAACTCCTTAACATCCACTTCATTCTATAGTTTGCAAAGAAACTCAAATCTCGTGTGATCCTCTCTCCATGCGGGAGATGTTTTATTATTATCAGTCTTATTTTATAGATGAGGAAATAGTCTTGGAGAACATAAACAACTGGTCTTCAGGGCTCAGCAATTAGTCTATTCTGGACTTGAGTCTAAGTCTCTCAGTAAAAACAGAAACAACCAACAAAGCAACAAGCAAAACCTCGTGTTCTTTCTGGTATGTCATGGGAGTTTAGTGTAGGGGAAGTCCAACAGAATTGGGTTTGAATTATGGCTCCACTTCCCACTGGCTAGTCTTTTACCACTTTAAGCTTGGCTTTTTCCTCCTTAAATAAGGCCATTAATCCCTTCAGCATGTGGTTGATGTGAGGAGTTAGTGATTCACTGTGTGCAAAGGCCAGACTCATGCAAAGAATGTCCTTGAGGGCTCTCATTGCATTCGGCCTCCTTGAGCTGGAAAACGTTTTCTATCTAGCCGTCAGTTCATTGGGAAAATTCCAAATCTACCATTCCCCCAAACATTTATCCCAACCCCCTTCTTTCTTTAGAAAACATGACCAGTTACTCACAGTCATTTCTTATTCTTTCTCCTCAAGGATATTTTCTTGACAACCCCTGTTAGAACATAAGCACAGAGTAGGTTCCCAGAAACACTAATTTGATGATGGATGGTCTGTCTTCACCCTGAATGAAGAACACTCTGGCCTACATATTTCCTTGCACATAATAGAGAACACTGATTCATCAATAGGCAAAGAAGGTATCATCTGCTCAGTGTCTCGAATGAGGCTGTGGTGGTCAGCTAAATACTGTGGTTAATAAACCAACTAAATGACCTCAGTTAATCCTCTTTCCTCATTAAAGATAGTTATAGATCAGGCTGACACATTCCCTGGCTGACGAGGAGCTAATGAATTTCATAGAAACAGAGAAAACAAGCATAAATAGTGAAGAGGCCATGAGAGAGGCATTTCAAATCTGCCGGAATCTGCCTCCAAAGTCAACAAAACTCTGTTTTTCCTTAGAACAGTTCAGAAGTATGAGAAAGGTCCCAGTCTTTGGGGAGTCTCTTAGCAACTAAGTTTATGATCCATCATCCATCACTGCCACTGAGCACTTGTTTCTTTAGAAATGTCTTCCCTTTCCACCTGATGTTTTTTTGTATTTGTTTGTAACCCCGTCACCACTCTATGGTAGAAATACCTAGACTCGTGATTTATTTTTTAATTTAAATTCCATTAGCCAATATATAGAACATCACTCATTTCAGAGGTGGAGTTCAGTAATCCATCAGGTGATGTAACACTCAGTGCTCATCACATCAGGTGCCTTCCCTAATGCCCATCACCCAGTTACTCCATCCTCATGATTATTTCAGTAACCTTTTGATTTCCTTTTCTCCAGTATCTTCCCTAAATTATCCGTCTCTTCTTTTATGGTGCTCTCCTCTGGTCGAAACTTTGGTGAACATTGGGTAGAGGATTAAGCCTCAGCCTAGCACTTGAGAGTCACAATAGGGTCTCAACTTTACTATCTAATCTAGCACAAACCTAAGCTTTGCAGGAGATGGTTTCATTCAACTCAGAAAGCCTTCTCCAGCTATCCAAAGTCAACCTCAGCCTCTCCTGCAGTCTCACTCAAGCTCTCTTTCTATGGAACCTTCTTGGAAAACTCAATTCATATTTGTTTCTTCAGTTATAATACTTTGCTATATGTTGCCCTTGAGAATGTTTGTTTTTCAGCATTTAACTATTGTCTATCTTGGTGTCTTACCTAAAAGGTCCTTGACCTTTTGTTTTTTTAAAGATTTTTTAATTTATTTGACAGAGCTAGAGCACAAGCAGGGGGAGTGGCACGTAGAGTGAGAGGGAAAAGCAGGCTCCCCACAGAATAGAGAGCCTGTTGTGGGGCTCGATCCCAGGACCCTGGGATCATGACCTGAGCTGAAGGTGGACACATAACTGACACAGGCACCCCTTTGGTGTCTTACCTAAAATGTCCTTGAGGCCAGAGATCATGTCTCATTCTTTTGTTTTCCCTTCTGGTCCAGCCTCTAGCACAGTGCTGGGCTCTGTGTTTAATAAGTTTAAACACTTAAAAGTTCATGTTTAATAAGTTTAATAAACTAGATGAATTTTTCATTTAAAATTTTCATCTCCTCCTCTCTTTGATAAAGTGATTATTGGAAGTCCTGAGGTATTGTATGGTAGTTATACTTTATGTGGAAATCCAAAACAAAATGAAACAGAAAATGCATTGCTACTGTTATGTGATTACTTCTAGAGAATGCTAAGGTATCCCCTATTTTTTTGTTGAGATATAATTGACACATACCATATTATAAGTTCAAGGTGTGCAATGTGATGATTTGATACATGTATATATTGGGAAATGTTTAACACAATAAGGTTGGTTAAAATATCCTTTATCACATGTAATTACCACTTTATTGTGGTTGTGTTATGGTGGTGAGAACATTGAAGCTCTACTGTCATAGCAACTTTCAAGTATACAATACGGCATCATTAACTAGAGTCATCATGCTGTATGTTAAATTCTTGGAACTTGTTCATCTTCTAACTGAAAGTTTGTGCCTTTTGACCAAAATCTCCCATTTTTCCCAGCAACCACCATTCTAGTCTCCACTTCTGTGGGTTCCATGTTTTTAGGCTCCACATGTAACAACTAACTCACCATAACTACAGAATGTAATTAAGCACCACCATTTCAGGGCACCTGGGTGGTTCAGTGGGTTAAGCCTAAGCCTTCGGCTCAGGTCATGATCTCAGTGTCCTGGGATTGAGGCCCGAATCAGGCTCTCGGCTCAGCAGGGAGCCTGTTTCCCCCTGTTTCTCTGCCTGCCTCTCTGCCTACTTGTGATTTCTCTCTCTCTGTCAAATAAATAAATAAAATCTTTTTAAAAAAAAAAGTACCACCATTTCAGTCCATGTGCTTTTATATCTGCTCCCTCTTCCCCAGGTTTCTGACCTTGTTCTGGACTTCATTTTCACTTGGACATTGCAAATCCTTACTCCTTTCCCTACTTTCTCTTTCCCCTTCAATCTGCACATAGCCATCAAGGATCTTTCTGAAATACAACTTCATCATAACGCTTCCTTTCTTAGAAATGCTCAGTTCTACTTACTCTTTTGCAACTAAATTCAAATTCCTTGATCTGGCATCTAAGATCTTCCTAGATCTGGAGTCTTACATTTCTACCCTTATCATTCAACATTCTTCTTAATAGCCCTTATATTATTTCCAATCAAAACTTCTTGCACCGAGCTTCACACATAGCAATTTTCTTGGCTAATGCACACCTTTCCCAAAAAGGTCTATTTCATTTCTTTATATATAAACTGCACTTTATCTTTAATGGTTAATTTTACACTGAGATAACCTTCCCTGACCGCCTCACTAGGAAGGAATACTCCTTTCTCTGAATGCCCACATTGCACACTGTAATGGTATTTTTTACCTTTCTTCTTGGATTTATTTATGTGTTTACATTCATTCCTTTCTTCTTTCCCTCAAAAAAAAAAAGTTGAACAGAACTGTGCAAGGTGCAAGGGTAGAAGAAGGAATATAGCCTACCGGTGAGATTGTAGTAAGTCTCCAAATGAAAAAAATATTTATCAAATATGGTAATAGTTGTTACAGAACTCTAGGAGACCAGACAAAGGTTAGCCTAGATCTGTCTGGGGAAATTTGGGGAGTCTCAGAGGAGTAGAGCCTGAGTTCTAACCTGAAACATGTTTAGGCATGAGCTAGCCAGGTGGACAAGATAGGGAGTTGGTGGGGGTGGGGTAGGAAGAAGAGAGGCAGACAACTCAGATGGAGAGCATAGGGTGAGAAAAGGAGCAGCCACAGGAGAAAGCATAGTATGTTTGAGGAAGGCAGGTTATCCATTATGATAGGGTAGGAGATACTGGGAGAATACCCACTGAAGAAAAAGAGACTTAGGTTAGGTGGACAGAACTAGCTTTTGCCTTGCTAAGGAGTTTGGAGTTCAGCCTATCAGTGGGCATGCTGAAGATTTCATTTGGGAGTTACAAGACTGCATTGTAGGTTAGACTCCAGGAGTTGAATGGAGGAGGATCAAAGACACAAAGAGACTGTGAGTAACTTGGTGGGGGATTCAGGTCTTCCTCTGATTCATCTCTGTATTTCCCAATTGTGCTCCCAGTGCCAGTGCACATGGTTTATGGACAAACTGTGTTTGTTAAGAAGTAAAAGAAAAGGAGGTATCCACTTCCAGACTAGAACACACATGGAAAGTCCTATCAGCTCTAAGCTTCTCACTTTACCTGTATTACTCTGATCACACAGCTAGAGGGCATTTTCCAGCTTCTTGAACCTGTCAATCCATGTCTCGTATTCTTCAGACTGGTTCTTCATCGTTGGACTTACAAAAGGCTGTGAGACTGGCCTGACCTTCAGAGCATTCAGGGGATCTTAGGTGGCTGAAATCTCAGCAGGAAGGGTTTTTGGTTGTGGTTCTTCTTCTGGAGTTTTCCACCAAAAATAACACAAGTATCTCACTGGCAATACATATACCGCACAGAGCTCCTCCAGTCTCTTGGCCAAAGATGAGGCCACACAGCTAGCAATATTTATTGTAAGGTCTGGTTTTGTAAAGCTAGAGGATGTGTTTCAAATCCTCAGTGCCATAGGACCATATCTGCCAATTCTTGCTGTATATAAATACTATTTTTTTTTTAAGGGAAGGGTGGAATCACGACTTTATTCAGTTTACATTTCTGATTTACACAAAACAAAGGTTTTTGTAACTGAGACTTTTCATGATATTCTACTCTGTTTTATACTAGTGGTATACACAAGGGATAGGCTTCAGGCAATGCTTATAATTTCTTGATTGGAAAATGCATCATGAGTGTGAGATTCTTGACAAAAGGTGATTGAAACAATATTGATATTATCTTAAGCTCATGGGTTCATTCTAACAAACCATAAAGCCCCTCTGTGGTCTGGCAATCCTACTCCTTTAGCAGAGGAAGCTGCAGCCCAGGGAGTGGAAGTGATTTACTAAGATCATAAGTCGATGGTAGACACAAAACTAGAAGGAGGGTATAGAAGTTACATCCAGCTCATTTTGGTATTCTAACTAAGTGTCCAGCACAAAATAGAGATGCTTTTAGCACAAATAGACAGATGAGTTCCCACTGCACCATGTAAGACATCCTATCATCTACTGTGAAGAGAGACAGTGGCATCACCTGTTTGATCTGCCCAACCCTGCTGCTCCAGGAATTTCCCATCCTCCCTATCACCATGGCTGTGGAGAGAATTGCCATGAACATGGTGCAGGCCTGGGCATCAAATGCAAAATGGGCCAACAAACAGTATGTTTGTTGTCCAGTGGTTTTGGAACTATTTGTGAGTGATAAAAACAGAAAGATAGAAAAACAGAGGCCATTCTCTGTGAGATGTAGGAACTCTAGCCAGTTTTCCTCTTTGTATTGGAAATGAGAAAAAGATGGTCTGCTGAGGCAGACAGACAGATGGAAAAATAGGTAGATAGAGGTTATGAAGCTGACAGCAGAGAGAAGAGAAAAGATACAGGAATTCATGATGTTGTCCAAGATCCTGATCTTAGTTCATTGTTACGGGTCTGTCCTTAGGTCATATTAAATTGGTAGAGTTGGTTCTGCTCAACTCAATGCAAATAATCTTAACTAATTTGCCATAGAATTATGTCTCTAACTTCTGTAAATCTGTGCTTTCCCCAATTTTCAAATATCTGAATTTCTCATTTTGTACCTTTGTCTCAAACTTCTCACATACAAGTTGTGAAAATCTCACAGCCCTAAAGAATGGAAATTGCAATAAGACCCCAAGTTTTGAGTTTGTTAACAAACACTCATTAAGCTGCTGTGGGGAATGGGAACGATTGTTTTGTCTGAAAGAATAGAATGCTATATGAAATTATAACCATATGGATGACCAGCAACCAGCAAATTGTTAAGAGATTAATATAAAAGAATTCTACTTTGATAAAATCAATTTTGAGAAAGAGCTGAAGGTTTTCACAAAGTAAATAAATAGGATTATTATACTTTTTAGAGCTTTGGACCACTTTAGAAATCTGAAGAATACTTGGATAATCTACCCAGCTAAATGCACATTGGCATAGATTTTGGTGGATGATTTTAGAGAATTCAGAGAGGTCCTTGGATCTGAGAAACTGTTTTTAAATAAATTTTTGTATTCTTTCAGATAGTTCAACATTCTCTTTGACTACTAAAGGCGGTGGGGGGTGGTTGTATAGACCTGAATTAGGCTTAACTAAATGAGTAAGCAGTAAGTAAATAAGTAACACGCCCTATGCTCTTTTGGTCCCACTGTATCAGGATAAAGTCCAAATTCCTTACTTGGCCCATAAGACCATTCAAGTTATCATTATTGCTTCTCTTCTTTTAGTCCTATGTATGCATCTTTTTCTCTCATCTTTTTCCAGGAAAAAAAATGAAAGTGTATGATGTCTTTATGCGTTATACATGCCATTCCCTCTGTCGTGAGAGCCCTTCTTACCACTCCTGTCTTCATTGGTTGGGCTTCTACTCATCCTTCAAGACTCAGCTCATATTTCACCTCTTGTGGGGAGCCTTCCCCAAAGCCCCAGGTGGTGTGAGGGGTGACTCCTTGTAGACCCCTTTGTCCATCACAGCATGTATTAGAGGATATTGTGACCTAAAGTTAGAGTATCTGTCTCCTCTACCAGAGATCTAGAGATGGGGCCTGTGAGGTAGGCATCCATGGACCTTCAAGGTCTGGTTGGTGGCCAGCACATAGTTGGTTCTAAAGACATGTTTACTGAATGAATAAGGGAATGAATAAATGATTTTCTCTGGGAAAAGAGGAAATGTGCTTTACCAAACTTCTGCTTCAATTTCACTCTCTAGAAGTGGGGCAATGAATGCTACTCATAGAGGAATGTGAGAAGAATCAATTATTGCAGAGATGCAGTAAAATCCTCAAACAAGAGGCAACATAAAAGAGCAAAGTATATTTTTTATAATCTTATTCACAACAGACTTAACACTCAAGGAGAAAAGCATTTGCTGTTGTTTCTTGCGTGGCAAGAGGCTTGCCAAAATGGATACTATTTTCTAAAATATTTCAAAGTGTGAAGTGCGTGAAGAGGCCTCCCGTCATTTTAAGATGAATTATGTTCTAATCCGGGCATTTAAAAAACAACAACAACAGAAAAACTCAGGCTGTTTTTCAATTCCGTCTGCATCTTCTTTTGGCTAAGTGCTGGGAATATTAAAATGGATTTTAACTGCTTGCCAGATTTTTTTTTTTTTTTTTAAATCAAAGAGCCCATTACATTTTGAAATGTGATGTCTGGGGAAAAGGTCACCCTCAGTTTCTGGAAGCTGGGCTTTCGATGTTAAAATAGGTCTCATAACCATCTTTTATTTTGATGGCAGTTGGTGGATTGGTCACAGGCTTTGGAAGGACACCTGTATACAAGCTACAAGTCCAATTTCTTGGGGCAGACGGCAGGCCCATCACCGTGTGATTTCTGCGTGCATATCAGCAAGGACAGGAACCAACCCACAGAGAAGGGAGTTCTGCCTCCCTTCTCTGTTGCAGCAGAGTCTCAAAGTCAAAGGGAGCCTGACATCAAGGTGCTGGGTGGAAACCAAAAACCCAGAAAGGAGGGCCCCACCCAGCCCCAGAGAATAGAAGGCAAAAAATGGGCCAAGCCCCTCCTCCAGCTCTGTAGAGCCAGGTGCACACCACATGTTTTGTTTTGCCTGGAGACATCTCCGGGACTTTAGCCTGTGTTGCCAGAGGTTTTCTTTAAGTTCTTTCCTGGACAAGCAAGAAAAAATGGAAGGGTTTAGTTTGTTCTCTTTATGTTAACATCTACACGTATGCACCCAGGCCAAGAGAATGCGGAGGCTCTGTTAGGTGGTGGACATTGTGTTAGGTGATAGGGATACATTGGTAGATTGGAGCTCTGGTACCTGTCTTGCTGGAGCTCACAGAGGGCACGTTGATGCTAAATTACTACTCAAAATTATTATTGGGTTACAAACTACCATAAACACAACCAAGGAAAAGGTGAAAATATTTACACTTATTTTGAGATGGGGCAGGAGTTGGGGAGGATCGGAGAAGGCTTGCTGGAGGAGTGACACTTAAACTGGGGGCCCCTGAGGGATGAATAGGAGTTTCCAGGTCAGAGTGATGCTGGCAATGCCTCCTGTGTGGCAGATTGTTCCAGATAAGCAGAGACAATAGCCTATAGCATCACCTTGAATCAGGAGGGCTTCTACAGTTTGGCGAGCAGCAGCAAGGGGCCTCTTTCCATAGCTCGGCTTCTTTTCCCAAAGCAGGAACTTCTGCCTCTCACTCCATGCAGATGTGTGCCTCAAGGATCAGGAAAAAGCTTTGTCTTCGCCCTTCCTTACTCCTGTCAGTGTTCAGAGGTTTGAACATTATCCCTAACCTGGAGGATTCTACCGTCCAGGTACTACTTGCTCAGGCTGATGCCTTATGAATAGAAATTTCCTTAGGATCCAGGAAAAGACATGCAGATCTTCTGCTCAGGTGTTTTCAGGCTTACAGTGGGTATCATTCATTCGTCACTAGCACCTTTGGTGACTTAGTCATTTATTTTACAAATCCAAGCAACTACCACACCGTACAGATCTCTGGGAGCTTTGGTTTCTGTATTTGGTGCATAATTCAAGTATGCCATTAACAAATGTATATGGTTTCTCACTGCCTTCGATAAAGATGTTTCAATCACTAAGTTTTTTTTCTTTTTTTCAAAAGGTGGAGAGTGGCAGTGTAACATTGTGGTGGAGAGTGGAGGCTCTGAAGCCAGATGCCCTAGGATTGAGTCAGTCCTGGCTCCTTTCTCTATGACCTGCATGACCTTGGGCAAGTTACTTGTCCTCTTTGTGTCTCAGTCTCCACTTCTGCAAAAGGTGGCTAAGACCACCCATAGTTTATTATGAATAAATGGGCTAGAAGCTGTAAAGCAAACCCCTGGAAATAGCAAGTGTCCAGTAAATGTGAATAGTGTCGTCTGTGTAAGGACGTTCATGTAAATTAACTTACGTATCAGATTAAAAAAGCTTTTGCCTCCCCTTTAATATTGCACCTGTGAATTATTATCAATTCCCCGCCCTCAGACTCTTGATGAAGACAGTGTGACTTCAGAATGTCCATAGCCCGGGCACCGAGCAGTAGAATAAGTACTCAGTCCATGTTTGTAGATGAAATGAATGACCATGTGCCCTGATAGGAAGTTTAGAAATTAAAGCTGCTGAATGGATAGTTGTATTTCTCCCAGTTCCTTCTCAGACCCGACAGGAGGAGAATTTTTTCTCGGCATTTCTTTATCTGCCCATCCCTAACCCAGATGCTAGATAGAGTACAACTTAATAGATGCTTCATGAGAATCCTGATAGCCAGCTAAGGCAGATCTGTTTTAATTGCTACAAATTTGTCACAGGAACCCATCATCATCAGGCAGCCCTGGGCCCTGCTCTTCTCGCCCTGTATGTGAGAGAAAAGCCTTCTGGTTGCTGCCGGTGAAGAAAGGTTCTAATTACTCTGAATTACCAAGGTTGAGAGTTAAGAGGATTTTAGAAGCAGTGTAGAGCATATCAGAAAAACTTGGTGTCAAACCTGAATGCTAAACCTGATTCTCACTTTTACCAGCTGCAACTTTTCAGATCTTAATTTTGTCAGTTGTGAAAAGCAGACCAGCAGTTTGCAGGAAGATTGTGGAGATTAAAAAAAAAAAAAGTTACCAACTAAAAATACTTAACACAGGAAGATGCTCAGTGCAAGGCATTATCTGTAACTGTGTTATTGTTATTATAGGGTCTTAAACAAATCTAGCTTCCCCAGAAGAGAGGACTTAACATTAATTATCATGTGCCAGTTAGTTTTCTGGGCACTGTTCCTGTATAGTATCCCTTTTAACCTAAGATCTAGAACCTAGTCTTTGTCCCAGGCCAATTTCTTTCTGGGGTCTGCACTTCTCGAGGTTACATTAGGAGAAAATACATGCTGGTCTTCTTGATCTTGCTTAAGCTTCCCTTTCTCCCTTCTAATACCTAGGAGCATATAAAAAGGTAATGGTTTGCACATGTAAAAATGGTTTGAGAAACCCGAGGCAGAGCTAATTTTTTTTTTTTTCTTTCTAACACAGCAGGAAGGATAAATAATAACCATCTGTCTAGTCTGCCAGTTGATGATTTGTACTGGAGGAAATAAGCCAAGCTGGCTTCTAGAGATTTCCAGGTGTTGGAAGGGCCAGGTTTTACAGGGCTTCCAGTGGATTCTGACAGTCACACAGCCGGCCCTCCCCTCCCCCCCCCTCCCCACTAATGACTTGAAATCAGTGGTCTTCAGCGCTGGCTGCTAATGTGCTCCCACCTGGGGAGCTTTAAAAATTACCAGTGCCTGGGCGGCACACCAGACCAATTAAATCAGAATCTCGAGGGGTGAGAACCCAGCTCAGGACTTCTAAAGAATTCCCTAGGTAATTCTAAAGTGAAGCCACAGGAGAAAACAGATTTGAATAAAAGCTTCTGGCCTCATTGGACCTAGTGAATGAAACTTTTATGAGAAGGAAATGTAAATATATGTTAAATATCTATATATGCCAGACATTTCTCACAGGTTTTCTTACTCAACCTAAAGAATAATCCTGTGAGGTAGAAATTACCTCCATTTTACAAATGAGGGGACTGAGGCAACACCAGGTTTGGTTTCTTGCTTAAGACAACAGAGGTAGGGATGCCTGGGTGGCTCAGTGGGTTAAAGCCTCTGCCTTCGGCTCAGGTCATGATCTCAGGGTCTTGGGATCGAGTCCCGCATTGGGCTCTTTGCTCGGCAAGGAGCCTGCTTCCTTCTCTCTCTCTGCCTGCTTGTGATCTCTGTCTGTCAAATAAATAAATAAAATCTTAAAAAAAAAAGACAACAGAGGTAGGGTTAGGTCTAGGTTCTAATTCATTCACTCACTCAACAAACATTCGTTAAATGCTAACTGTGATACAACAATGAACAAGACAGAATCTTCCCATGGAGTGTGTGCTTTCCAGTGGTGAGGGCAAAAGAGAGATATGTAAAATAATGGCAAGTAGTGATAAGGGCTAGACACACAGCTAAAGCCAATTATGGGGGTAGAACGCCTTGGCAGTTGTTATTTTATTTTATTTTATTTTATATATTTTTAATTTATTTATTTGTCAGAGTGAGAGAGAACATAAGCAGGCAGCGTGGCAGGGAAAGGCAGAGGGAGAAGCAGGCTCCCAGCTGAGCAAGGAGCCTGATGTGGGACTCCATCCCAGGACCCTGGGATCAAGACCTGAGCTGAAGGCAGCTGTTTAGCCGACTGAGCCACCCAGGTGTCCCAGTGGCAGTTGCTATTTTAGGGAGGGAATTCACCAAAGGCCTCTCCACGTGACATTCAAATAGAGCCCTGAGAAACATGGGGGGAAAGGCATGCAAATGTCTGCAGAAAGAGCATTTCAGGGAAAAGCTATCATAAAGGCAAAGGTCCAAGGCAGGGAGAAGTGTTTGGTACATTCAGGCAATAGCTGAGAGGAGAGCTTAGCCGAAGTGGGATGAAAGGGGAAGAGAAGTTTAACTATTCACAGAACTGAAGGGCCTCATGGGCCATGCATGTGACTGGAATTGATTTTCTTTTCCTTCCATCATTCATTTCTTCTCTGGCGATTGTCTTCTTCATTACCCCCTTCTGGTGATAGCAACTATATTTTACTTTGTGCCCCCCCCCCCCCATTCTAGTGCTGTGGTTTGGTAAGAATGATACCTAGTTCCAACTCTGAGGTTGGTCTCTGATTAGTTGAAGACCATCATGGTGTTCTAATCACAGTCTTGGTTCTAGGGTGGATATAAAACTCAGTCTAAGCCTCTGAGATGAGAGGAGACATCTGCTACAGTTTCTCAACTCATAAAATTCTCTCCTTCTGGGCAGGACTGGCCAAAAGAGAGTGCTGTGAAGATATGATGACCTTGGCTACCGTAGCTATTTTGTTATTAAAGTGTCTGGAGAAGTTGAGGCACTACCATGTAGAGCTTAAAGTTGATGCCAGCACCATATACAGCAGAGCAGAGAGCCAGAAAGAAACCGGATCCCAGATTTTGACATTTTTTTTTAAAGATTTCATCTATTTGACAGAGAGAGAGAGAAGAAGGGAAGCAGGCTCCCCGCTGAGCAGAGAGCCTGACTCGGGGTTCGATCCCAGGATCCCAAGATCAGGACCTGAACCAAAGGCAGAGGCTTTAACCCACTGAGCCACCCAGGTGCCCCCAAGATTTTGACATTTTTAATGACTACATCAAACCAGCCTATGGCTCTTACTGCCACCAGACTTTTTATTTACATAAACCAAAACTCTTTATTGTCTAAACCAACTGAGTTAGCTTTTCTGTCCTGTCAAGAGAAACAGTTCTAAGTAGGAATTACTATGAATTTTTTTTCCTTAATAAAAGGGAGGTTAAACTCTTAGTCATTTTTCTGTGTTGTCTTGAGTCATAGGTCTTCAAGAGATGTTTGAGGGATCAATGAGACTCTGAAATTATGATTATTCCTTCCAATTTCCCTCCATTAGCAGCCTTGCTATAACCCTGCTCTGTGCTTCCTGCTTTTTCTTCCTCTTCCTCACTCACAGGCTCTACAGTGAAGAGATTTAAAGTTGGAACCATACTTCATTTTTGTGAGATACTATTTTAGACCTCAGACAATAGCATATCTGGAGGGGTCTAAGCTCTTTTTTATTTGTCTCCATGGGAGTTCATAACACTTCTTGGATCTCTGGCTTGAGGTCTTTTATCACTTTTGGAAATTTCTTCATCATAATTGCTTCAAATACTGCTTTAGCTCTATTCTCTTCCTCCTATCTTTCTTTAGATGTATACTGAATATTCTTGCCATTTCCTATATGTCTCATATACTTTTTTTGGTATGTTCTATCCTCATTGTTCCTTCATGCTTCAATCTGGATATTTCCTAATGAACTATATTTCAGTTCACTAATCCTCTCTTCAGCTACACTCAACCTTCTGTTCAACTCATCTAGTGAGTTTTTAAAAATTAATTTTTATGTTTTTCTGTTCTAGATATTCTTTATAAATTCAAATGACTTACTGAAATTCTCCATCTTATCCATTCTCTTAAACATATTAATTACAGTTATTTGAAAATCCATGTCCTATCTTGTATCATTCCTGATTATTTGTAATTGAATGCTGGACATTTTATATAAATAAGTCTCAAGGTTTTATATAATGTTAACTTCTTCCAGAGGGTTTTTTCCTCTTTTTTTTTTCTGGTACTCAGTTTGAATTCCAAATAATAGCTTTCAAAAAGATGTTGTTTTATATTTTATCTAGTCTTCTAGTTGATCTTGCCAAGAGGTTTGGTCTGCTGTAAACTAGTGCATTCTAGACCTTAGCCCAAGTCACAGATATTAAGTATTTATATGATTATCATGTATGCATTAAAAAAGAATTTCATAGGATTCTTGGGAGTCCCATTGAGATAAATTTGTGATATAAGGCAGTACATATAAAAAGGAGTCATTTTAATGTTATTATAGAATTTTTGAGTGAAATGAGGCTCCAGGAATGAAAAAAATCACAATTCTTCACACCCAAAAGGAATAGCTGCCTTTAGTTTCTTATAATGTATTTTCTTTCAAGAAAACAGGCAAGTAAAATGCACCTCCCTCAGAGTACTTAATCATCACAGCTCCAGCAACACAGAAATGGGAAGAGATCAAGGCATTAACTTTCTCAATAAGCTATGGACTATCAAAACAACAGTGCAATAGAAGTATCACCAAAGTCAAAGTCCTGTTGCTCTGTGGAGTGCAATATTGCCTAAAAAACTTTTTCATACTTGTAATCACCCTATTAGAGCAATAGAGCAGGTATTTTTTTTTTCCTACTTTGGGTTAATTTTAAAGATGAGAAAAATGAGTCCAAGAGAAGTAAAATAAGTGTTCCAATAGAAGATGGTTATTTAGTTGCAAAGGTGAGACTTTGGCTCATCTTTTTGTACACTTTTCTATGTCATCCATTATGGGTTGAATTCTGCCCCCCCAAATACATGGTGAGGTCCTCACCCTTAGTACCTCAGAATGTGACTGTATTTGGAGACAGGCTGTTTAAAGAGGTGATTCAGTTCAACTGAAGTCATTAAAATGAAGACACTTGTCTGACCGGTGTTCTTATAAGACCAAAAATTTGGATACACAAAGAGACAGGGATGTGCCTGCACTGAGAAAAGACCATGTGAGGACAGTGAGAAAGAGGCCATCTGCAAGCCAAGGGGAGAAAGGCCTCTTTCTTTCTCTCTCTTTTTTTTTTTAATTTTATTTTATTTTTTCAGTGTTCCAAGATTCATTGTTTATGCACCACACCCAGTGCTCCATGTAATACGTGCCCTCCTTAATACCCAGCACCAGGCTTACCTAACCCCTTACTTCCCTCCCCTCCAAAACCCTCAGTTTATTTCTCAGAATCCACTGTCTCTCGTGGTTTGTCTCTCTCTCTGATTTCTCCCAATTCACTTTTCCTCTCCTTCTCCTGATATTCTCCATGTTATTCCTTATGCTCCACAAGTAAGTGAAACCGTATGATAATTGACTCTCTCTGCTTGACTTTTTTCACTCAGCATAATCTCCTCCAGTCCTGTTTATGTTGATACACAAGTTGGGTATTCATCCTTTATGATGGAGGCATAATACTCCATTGTATATATGGACCATATCTTCTTTATCCATTCATCTGTTGAAGGGCATCTTGGCTCTTTCCACAGTTTGGTGACTGTGGCCATTGCTGCTATGAACACTTGGGTACAGATGGCCCTTCTTTTCACTACACTTTGAAACTTGCTAACACTGGGACTTTGAACTTTTAGTCTCCAGAACTCTGAGAAAATAAACATCTGTTGTGTAAGCGACTCTATCAAACAAATACATCAAGTGACCTGGATTTATACTAGAGAGAGAAAGAGAAAGTATTTGGTTTAAACATTTGTTGTGATCACCTTTGGATGTCTTTGTTTTGTTTTTTTTCAACAAAACTGAGTTCTCTGAAGTTATAGATGACATCATGAAAAATGAACCCTCACTTGCTATTACCCTATTGTCTTCTAGCACATCCCTTCTGTCTCTTTTCTATAATGCTGGGATGGGGATCTACAAGTACATTTCCCTGGCCCACTGGCTTCAGGCTAAATTCCAGCACGGGGAGATGCTTGGAGGGAGATTAAACTGTGGGGAGAGTAGAGTAGAAGTATTTTCTTCTTGTTTTTGTAGTTTGTTAATATCTGTCCATCATCAGGGGAGAGCTACTGCTGTTGCTAAGATTGAGCTGTCAGAGAAGCCTCCTGGACCTCACTCTTGGGTCTGAAGGAGACTCCTGAAGTGTTTTTCAACATTCTGAGCACAAGTCATATGCGAAAATTCAAAATCTAGATGAATAGTGACAGGACATCCCATTCAGTAGGCCCAGCATTCACCACATTGTGTTCTGTCAGAAATCCAAGCACCAGCCCTATTTGTGAAACACTGAGTTTCAAACTACATGGTGTAACCAGCTGTGTGGCACCTCCTTCAAAATTCTTTCTCTAGCTGCTTGGTCTATTCTTGGAGATCCTAGAATCAGCGATGTAGTAGCACTTGCCAAGATTCTGCTAACAGTACACCTTTCACTATGTTCCCTCAGCACTAAGGATGAGAGCTGGTTTCCACAACTCCTAAGCTCTGGGTTACCTCAACTGCCATGGGTTGAATTGTGTCTTTGAACACAGCTACCACTAGTACCTGTTAATGTGACCTTATTTGGAAGCAGGCTCTTTTTATATGTAATCAAGTTAAGATGATGTCATTTTGGGTTTGGGAGAGCTCTAAATCCAATGAACAGTGATGGCTTTATATGAAAAAGGAGATACAGAGACACCAAAGAGAGAGAGGGAAGAAGGCCATGTGAAGGTGGAGGCAGACAGTGGAATTAAGCAACCATAAGCCAAGAAATGCCTGGAGCCATCAGCGGCTGGAAGAGGTAAGGAAGAACGCTTTCTTAGAGACTTCAGAATGAGCATGGCCTGCTGACATCTTGGTTTCAGGACAGGCTTCTGGTCTCCAGAACTGTGAGACAATAGATTTCTGTTATTTTAGGCCACCCAGTTTGTCGAACTTTGTTGTGGTGGCCCTAAGGAAATGAATACACACACCATCCTCTTTTTGCTTGTTTAATGCTTGTGCAACCTGTTCCCCAATCCTCTGTTGTAAGTTCCCTGTTTGAAACACCCAGTAAGGTTATTGTTCTGCTGGAATGAGACACCACCCCTCCCCTCAAACTTTTGGTACCTTGTGTTTTGATCCAAAAGGTAATCACTAAATGGTTGATGAATGTAGTAAATAGAAATTGCGACAGCAGATTAATATCAATGCATATTTTTTCACCTGTCACATTTAAAACTTGCTAATTGCTAAATATTTTGCCCAAATTAATCTTTATAATTTCACTTAATAATATGTCTTGGAAATCTTCCTGTATCAAGGCCAGCCATGTTATTTTATAGCTGCATAACTTTATCAGTTGGATATACTGTAATTTAATTAAATTGTCCCTGAAGGATTTCTTATTGTTTCCATTCTTATTTTTAACTTAAAATTTTTTTTACTTCCATTTTTAGAGGCATTTACCAAAAAATGCTACACTGAACATTTATTTTATTTTATTTTACTCTAATTTTATTTTTTTGAGATGCCTGTAGGGTAATTACCTAGCTGTGGCATTCCTAGATCTAAGGGACTGTTCAACTGAAGTGCTAATAAATCATGTCCTCTTCTTCTCTAAGAGCTGCATTCATCTGAAAGGGCTCTCACTAGAGAATGTTTCATGATATAATACAACTTGGAGAATTATGCCTTTTATGATCCCCCTGGCCTAAAAGTATAGCCAGTAAGGCAATCCTGAGTCCTATTTTTTCTGCACTGCTGAGCCATTTACATTTCTGAGAGCAATAAGATGAAACCCAACCAGAAAACCACTGGAGCAAAGCAGCAGAGTCAACAGTGGCTCTGAGAACTGGGATGTCTCTCGAGGAACTAAACCACCAAACTCACCTGTGGGCAAATCAGAGGAAGCTTTGTTCAACAATTCAACAAAATTCTGCCGTCTGTACAAGAAAAGTAAACATAACATTGGTACTCAATGTAGAAAGCTCTGAAAGAATGTGCAATAAAGTCAATGTTTATATTGATAGTGATATTGAAGGAGCTTTTTGATACCTGTATCATTCAAGGTATAATTCAGGAAACAGAAACTATTTTAGGGGTCTCTACTAGAACAGGGCTTTGATATAGGAAATTTGGTGTCTACGGAATTATTGCAGGGGTTAGTAGAATGAAGATTGGCATCTGCTGCTAGGCTCAGAATTAGGCCTCACCAGTTCTGGAGACCAGTGAACTGCAGAAAATTTTGACAAATGTCTCAGTTGTCCCTGACTATGAGGTTGGTGACTAGGAAGTACAAAATGCATTTTGGCCACTGCAAAAACTCTTGCCTGCCAGGATCTGGAGTTGCTACTACTTCAGGAAAATAAGTAAATACTTAAAATATCCCTGCTCCCACCCCCGCCACTTCTGCTTTTCAAATCTCACCCAGTTGCATTTCACTGATGGAGCTTAAATCAATTCCAGAACCTTGGTGTCAAGGAAGTTAGAAATGTTATTTATAGTCTTCCCAAGAATGGGAACTATTGTGATACAGGAAAAAACACAAGAGTGGATAGATATAAGTTCTGAGTTCAAATAGATAACATTTAGTGAAATCCCCAAGCAGGAAGAGAATTAAGCTTATATTTACGTGTGATAGTCACTGAAAGTTTACAAGTACTTTAGGAAAATGTTGGTCATGAAAATTACCTGTATTTGCTTGCCTGACATCCATCCTCCATTTATATACAAATGATCTTCTCTGGGATGATGGACTATAATCAATATCCCATAGCCTACCCTGGCCAGTGTTGTGACTCACCTTGTCTAATTAATCTCTATCTATTTATCACTTTCTCCACACATCCTTCCCTACCTTCCTCCCTCTCTCCCATTCCCTGTCTCTGTATCTCTCATTAACTTTTGGCTCTGGTTCTTCCCAAAGTTTTATTTTCCCCCAGTTTTGTGTATAACTCCATATCTTTTCAAAATATTTCTTTTTGTCTAGGTTAACAAAAGGCAGTTTCTGTTGCTAGCCACCAAACTGCGACTGGTAAGAATTGTTATCTCCTCTTTGCCCATCAGTGGTTAAGGAAATATAAAGCCCAAGTTGTAAGATATAGAAGCCCTGGATTTTCTAGAAGAGTTTTAATATCATGTGATTTTACTCTTTAAATAAAAACGATTCATTGTTTTGCTTATACCTCATATAACTTTTCCCATACATGACATTTCAGGTCAAAGTAGTTCTTTTTTTGGTATGGAAATCTGGCCTCTGGGGATTCATGTCAGTTTGGGCACAAGAATAGATAAGGTGGAGGTATGCAGAAATCATAAGCCTGATAAGATGATGACTGGGATACACAGGGAAAGAATGTTGGAAAAGCAGCACTGTTGGGAAATATCAATGCAAAGGTCTGATATTAGCACAGATCTGAAGTGAGCTACAGGGGAAGCAACTCCTGACTTTGATGCTTGCTGCAATTCTGTCCTCCTAGGAGGGCCAGGTTTAGGCCTATAGCATCTTCTGACCCATAGAAAAACAGCCACAACAATGTGACAATAAAAATCTAGATCCATCAATGTTTCCGTATTGCATAACCTTTGTTTTTTCAGAGCTGTTAGGAGTTATCAAATATGGGACAAGTCATCTGGACCAACAGCACCAGAAACTCTTCTGCCCCTTCTTGAATAGTGCTGATAGTAGGGGGAGGAGACTGTGAGGAAAGTTTATTAAGTATTGAGCCTGGGCACTGCCTGATTTAAATGTATAGGACTTATGTGATCAATGGAATCCTTGAGATCCTTCTAATTAATTTTTTTTCTTCTGTATTCTTTACATTACCCTAGGACCCTCAAAGAGCCATTGACAATTTAAATGGGAGAATGGGTTCCAGTTACCATAACAGGCACTCTAAGTCTAATCACAGAAGCAGGTGCCAAACTCCCAATGCAGTCAGAGAGTTCAGGACTGGAGGACAAAGTCTGCGAGCCTGATTTTATATTCAGGCAAATCTGAGTTCAAATTCTAAATTCCACTAGGTTATTAAGTTAAAATGGCCTTTAGTAAGTATTCTGAGTACTTTGTGTGCATTATCTCATTTAATTGAGACAACCATCCTATGAAACATGTAAAAGAGTTGCCCAAGGACCCACTGATCAATGAGGTAGCCAGAATTTAAACTCTGGCTGTTTGACTCCAAATCTTGCATTCTCAACCATTGACTTATATGGCCTTACACGTGAATGTAATATAATTTGATTTCAGTTACATTTTTTTCTCATGAACACAGCTCCAGTGTCTTCTGGTATTCTTTATTGCAGAAGTTTGAGGTCAGTCTGATTTGAGTTCATTTAAAATTAATGTTTTCCTTCCTTTGCTTTGGTTTAGTTTTATTTTGGTTTTGGTCTGCCTCCTTAAGTAATTTTCTTGTCTCTGTAAACACAAAACTTTTGTTAGGATAGACATGGATGTATTTTTCCCTTCATTTAGCTTAGTCATACTGAGTCCTTTTGATCTGTACCCAGAGGTTTTTTTTCTTTTTTCCCATCTCTGCAAAGTTTTTTTCACTTGTAGGTTTTGTTGTTAGTTCTTGTTCCATTTTTCTAGTTTCTTCTTCCACAATGCCAAGGCCTCTTAGGTTCAATTTCTATTTTTTCTCTTCTATGTCTACTATCTTCTTTCATTTTCTTCTCTGTTTTTTGTTTCTAAATTTTGTGGAAAACTTTCAAGTTTGACATTCTTAATAGATTTTACCTAGTTTCACTTTTACTTTTTTTTGATCCCTGGTTACCTCTTTTATTTTAGTAAATAGTATTTTATTGGAGGGTGACTGGGTCACTCAGTTGGTTGAGCATCCAACTCTAGGTTTCTGCTCAGGTCAATATCTCAGGGTTGTGAGATTGAGGTCCACGTTGGGCTCCACACTCACCATGGAGTCTACTTAAGATTCTCTCTCTTCCTCCTCCTTTGCCCCTCCCCCCACCAATCACGCTTGCTTGATCTCTCTCAAAAAAATCAATTAATATTTTATTGGAACACAACCACAGCCATTTGTTATGCATTGTTTGTGGCTGCTTTCAAGCTACAGTGACACAGTTGAGTAGTGGAAATAGGCTGTAGACTCACAAAACCCAAAGAGTTACTATCAGGTCCTATATAGAAAAAGTTTGTTGACCTAAAAATGTAATACAAATATCTTAATATCATCAACTATCTAGCAATGATCAGATTTCCTTGATTGTCTCATAATTTTTTATTGAGATCTAATTTATATGTAACATTATATTAGTTTCTGGTGTACAACATAATGATTCAGTATAAGTATATATAGACAAGGGATCCCATTTAGTCTAGTGGACGTACATCAGCACATATAGTTACACTCCTGATTATCACTTAATTTGGATTATAGAAGCTTCCACTTCCTTGAAACTGTCCATGTTTTACCAAGTTCCTTCAGTTTCTTCTGTTCACTTTAGTGCTTTCTAAATTTCATTTTAGTAGTTTATTATGCTTATTACTTTCCAGTTGGTTTCAATAGAGGACATGGCTCCATACAGCCTACAGAGAACATCAATGATTTTCTAAACATTTCCTAGTGTTTAGAGTAATAATTTTCAAGAATTTGCTGCTATTTGGAATCTGTAGGATTCTCATTGCCTCTCTGTATTCTGCAGTATTTTTAAAATTAGATCTCATATTTGGAGTTCTCTCTATTCACTGTCAAATGAGGAACTCTTCACATTCTACACAACTCAACAGATCAGTTGCATAGATTTTCCTTGGTCCTATTTGCTGCTCATTTAGTCCTACAGTCACGGAGTGAGTGCCAACCCTCACTGACACCTGGTGGCCCTTGGTTGGGACCAGCTCAGATGGGTTGCATATTAGACATGAAATTAGCATGTATGTCATCATCAATACACTCCACATATACAACTACAGGGATCTACCTCTCTCTGCTCCAACTCACATGACTTTATTGGCAGGCATTTCATCTCATCAAATGCAGACATCACAGCAAGATTTGCCCCTGCCCTCCTTCCCCACTCCAAATTTTTGCTCTGTCATTCTCAGAAGTTGTGCTTTCTGCATTGGTACAGAAAAGCAGTGTGTGGGTAAGCGTATGGGTATGTACCCTTGGGTGGGTATGGACACAGGCTAACAATACTCTTGCAGCTACAGAAAGTGGTGCTTGTGTCATTTTTTAGTAGGTCAAGACTTGGGGCCTCCAAATCAAGGGGAAGTCTGGTGAAAGGACGAGAGATCTTCTGTCAGCTGTGCTTCTCACAGGTAGACAGGGCCAAGGATGAATGCCAACTCACTGATTTTCCCAGCTTCCATTTACTTATCGTTAGTGGAGACTCCTTCTAGATTTTGGCACTAGAGTGCTTATTAGTTTTGGCTACTGGTGAAGTTTTTGCCTCTTTATTTATTCATTGGAATTTTAATTATGGATTGTTAAGTGGATAATATTTTATACAGTACATGGATGACATTTTATACAATAAGTAATTTTATACAGTAAGTCTTATATATCAAAACAACATGGAACAAAAGCCTAAACATACCAAACATACAAAAGGTGGCCTATTTCATAGAAACACGCTGGTAATCTTGATTAAGTTAATTACAGGTAACCTGTTTCTTTATGAGCTTCATAAAGGCTTAAACCAAAAGTATGTTGGTGCTTACTTCCTAAGCCCATTACCTTTCTCCAGCTTATGAAATGAATCCTCCTGCCATAACCAATAGTCATAGTTCTCCAAATCCACAATACTTTTGCTTGTTTCTTTGTCTTGTTCTTTTTCCTTCTAAGACACTCTACTCCTTCTCTTATCTGGTTAGTCCCTACAGGTCTCCCCAAGCTCAGCTGAAATGTAGTGTAGAATAGCACTGAGGTGCCAGCTTGTTCAGACTGCTAGAACCATAGTTTAAATCCCATGGTCTGAAGCATTT